TAAAGGCTGCTACAATACTTTCCACTCAGCTAGTTTACACAAGCCTTGGAATGAAGTAAATCCATGCTGTAATTGTTCTTCTGAGATCGCAATGCAGTGTTTCAAATATATGTAATATCCTTAAAGTGTTCTCGTTAGTATTTTCCCCAAAACACAATAATCAATATACTTGCTACACATGTGGATATAGTGCTGATGCTTCATTATGTATTACCAAGTACAATAGGAAATCTAACAGACATGGGATAGAAAATGCCTAATATTTTACACCTGGTGGTCAGGTAATCAATTGCAGATACAGGTGGATTTAATTTAAGTGGTATAAGGCATCGCCATAGTTTTCACATCACTGGCTTTTTTATCCAGAGCATTTCCAACACAACACACTGTATAGTGTATACTGTATCTATTTATTCAAAGCACTTTTGAACTCTGTTAAAATCAAAACATCTTTTTCTTTCACCATGTAATAAATTTATTTAATCTAACCTTTCACCTTAAATTTAATGTGCATTTTCCGAAAAACTGTCACAAAAAAATGTGTGAAAAATATTTGCAGAAGCTGACAGCTAATCTGAAATTTAAGCTTAAAACACAATGACATCACAGGAAAGTTTATGTAGCATTCGATGTGTTCATCCACAAGAATTAAAGCATGAATTCTCTATTAAAGTTATAAAAAAATTTAAAAACAGTTGATTTTTACATTTTTTTAAATGTTTCCTTTGATTTTGATTAAAAATTGTCTATTCTCATGTGAAACTAAACCATTGTAAAACATTGTCAATGATTTAGTTCAGAATCTAAGGACGAGTAGGAAAATGTCTGACATATCTTAGGACTAAGCACACTAAGTCAGTATTATATGTATATGTATGTATAATATGTAATAACATGTATAATCTGTTGTACCAGAGATTTCCATACAGAGAGGTTTGAGGAGTTATGTTCCCTGAACAGAGGCTAGAGGCTAGGGCCTAGGGTTGCGATGCAGAAGAAACAACATGGCAATAATTTTCAGAATTCCTTAGTTCTTCTCAGACAAATCTATCATTTTCCCTGATGGAAGGAGAGAGGCTTGCAATTTTAGTCGCAAACATAATCTTTATAGGAATTTTATACAAAACAGTTATCTAAGGCATAAAAACATAAAGTGGACTACCCCAAAACAAGGACATTAAAAGATTATTTTTCAACGAACCAAACAGTTCTACTCAGAGAACAATTACCCTTGAAATTTTTTTAATAGTTTATGCCAAACATGATCCAATTCCCATATATTTAAATAAATATTCTCTACACACAAATTTTAATCCGCAAAACATTTATTGAGCCGCAAAACAGAATTTTTAAACATATTATAAAATATCAACATGAAAATTATCTTACCGTTCAACATCAAACAATGTATGTGAAATATTCGTAGCAACTTCGACATTAGCAATGCTGGCAAGTGAGAGCACAACTTCCTCTCTTTCTCTCGAGTAAATATCACAATCTGTGTTAAACGTTAAACGAGATATGTTCCACTTCTCAAACAGAGTCGGCAAAACACGGAGTGGTGAGCCTTTCACGACAAATAAGCGAGAGTTGCACTTTAGCAGTTTACTGTTAAGATCGCTCAGAGACTGAAGTATAAACCTCCAGATTGTAGGACTAGTGTTTGTACTCAAACGCGTCAAAGCTTCGGTATCAATGATGTAAACTCCATAGAAGTTATCGCAGTCTTCCAGGCATTTCAACAAGGCAGGATTATCGTGTAACCTTAGGTCCTTTCTAAACCAATGAAGATGGCTTCGTTTAAAAAGCTGGACATCCGTCTCCATATTTTTTTGCATTTATTCTTTACTGAACCAAACAGTAAAGGAGCCTTTACTACTTACAATCAATCCATAAGACCATATATTGACAATATTGAACCAATTGAAGTTTTTATATAAATTCGAGACACTACAGGCACTAGCATAAAATAAAAACATAAACGAACGCGCGTGAATTGTACTGCTGTGCGATATTCATGTTTGATAACTTTGATTACGTAAGAGTTACGTAAGCCAGCTGAGTCTGACCTCTGAGGGACTGGAAGTTACTTTCATTAGTGATGGGCGATACCAGCTTTTTCAAATCGATACGATACCGCTTCGATACCAGACAATTTGTAGTGGTATCGATACCAAATTTCGATACCGATACCAGAAAATTGAGCCGTTTTTTACCGTTTGTAATTTCATATACCAAACCGTAACGTGCATTTATCCACTCACATTTTTGGCTTTTCCCTTTGTTTTTTCGCGAAATGAAAAATGGGCAGAAATTGTTGTGATTGGTAGCGTATAATTAAAGAACTAAGGAACAAAAAAGTGACGAACAAAAAAAAATAAATCAAATTTTTTATACTTTTTGGTGGAAAACGCTGACCTAAAATACTGTAGGCTCAGTATCGAAATTTTGCAGCCACTGGTCAAGTATCGATATTTACTGCAAATCATAAATATCGGTGAGTATCGATACTTGGTATCGAAGTATCGCCCATCACTAACTTTCATGAGAAACGTGCTGCGTAGTGCAGAAATTTTTATTTTACGTAAAGGTTGTCTTAAAGTTAATATATCCAATTAGTTGCAGATGGTTTCAAACAAGAGCTCAGGGACAAAGCTAAAAGAATCTTCTAGTGAAAAACTGTTAAATTAAGCAAGAAAAGCGTGGTTCTGTTTGTTTTGGGTGCGGTTGAGAGGGTGACCAAGTCGCTCAGACATAAGACATTATATCATACCGTGTTACATCTTATCTCACACATGAATGTTACGTAATAAGCATATGGCTTGACAAAATTTTTTTAAAAAAATACAATTATACAAGATAATGTTAAATATGTTTTGACCGTTAAACTTGGAGAATGTTAGAATAAACTAGAAGACGACAGCCAAAAAGTTTGCTCACAAAAAAGAACTTTGTTTGAATTTCGCATTAGAAATTTTTATTGGAAATATAGAATTTATTTCGAGTGTTGAAAAGAATATTTGTCAATAAAACACCGCATATTATATAACAAATTTCGTAATATCTTCCCGCTTAGAAATTAGGATAACACATGCACGTCTCGCCGCAACGTGCGACGAGATACAGCAGTCCATTATCATTACGTACAAATATACGACGGTATACAAGTAAAGTAAAGAACAGTGGGCAAAAAGCAACTAAAAAGAGGCTCAAGAGCTCCCAAATTTTCTCGCTCTACACCAACGATGGTAGCGCCTCGAGCCATGGAGCGCTATCCCCACTAATGTTAGTAATTTGAACCTCTCTATGTTAGTAATTTGAAGCAGTCTGTGCCTAGCACCTTTTTAGATCCAAGACCAAGAACCATGGGTACTGACTTGGCCAAAATATTAACAGTCCAACAAAACTATGGAAGATGGCTGTACGAGTACGAACATGCGTAATAATGTGACGAGGCTATTTTTGATCGATGATAAATATTTATTATGGCATAAAAGAATGTAAATCACTTAAAATGAATACATCAAATATTTACAACTAATTGTACAAACTATAGTTAAAAATAACACCATGCATACATGCCGAGCCAGATGTTTGTTTTCCACCCAGGCTTTCAATAATATTTTCACCTGAGTTTCGAGATGATGCAGGTCTTGACCGCAAGTACCCAATTATAATTAAATATTAATTTCATGGATTGACCAAAATCTAAATTGTTTTCCTACAGCTACTATTTTATTTTTATCACTCTAGTCTCTACCATTTCTGGTCATGCTTATTGCGCCACTGTGGGACTAGTCGAACAAACACTGATATATATTACTTGTTCTGTTAAATCGAGGTATATACTTTATCAAAACGTCAGGTTATTATATACTGTCACGTGGATTCGTGTGCAGATTGTACTATTACTATTAGAGAATACCGGTGTATATATATAGTCAAATCTATTTCATTCAAATCAAACTATGCCGATTACAGTAAAGACAGCGGATGTACATTTTACCTGAATGCATGCTCTCAAATATTTTTTATATACCGAATTGACATCATTTATTGCAAAACAGTCCTAAAAAAGTATTTTTCTCTGCCGGCTCTGTTTTCATTCATGTTATGCTTGTAGTCAAATTGTTCACAAACGCAAATAGACGTCTTTTGAAGGACAAAAAAGGTGGTTATGGTTATGCTAAATCATTGTTTTTTTTCTTTGGCAAATATTCAAATGTTTCTGGTGAAACGTACATGCATCCGCTATCATTTCGGTAATTTTAGGTTTGCTGGTTAACCTCATATATTATATTTATTAGTACATAATAAAAATTGATTATATTATAAAAATTGGCTATACATTAAAAATTCTATTAAACTATTATGCGCTAATATAGACAGCGAGGATATAATATATGAAGTTGCGTTACACAAGGCTTTCATCTCCTGACCAGTCATTGCGTCCATCCCTCAGGAATCTATTTATAAAAGGTTGTCTTTTTTGAACGACAGGATTATGTATAGCGTAACTGGAGTGATGCGAGCGGGGGAGAGACCCTGAAATCATGAGTTGCGGTTGGTTCAAAGCTGATGTCGATGCATACAAATGAGCTTTAGCCACGTGTCCTGTGTGAGGTTTAATGAAATTATCGTTGACGAAATAGGACCCAGTACTTTCACTGTTACTCATTATTCCCAATTTACTAGGATAGTTATAACGCGCCGTCGTAATACTTGATCTATTCCTCGATGATGTGCTTACCCAATGACCTGCGGTTTTGTCAGAGGTAATGATTGTTGGTGGACTGTGCGTAACTTGAACATCGTCACTATTGTAGTCACTATCACTCTGTGAGGGGGACCCACCACCAATATAACGAACTTTAGTTGAACCAGCATATGTCGGCCCTGTATTATTATTCAATATTTCAGTTTTGAGCCCGCCAAATCTTTCGACGACTGCACGATTAACATTGTTCTGATATAGCCCCGGTGCTGAGCCACGCCTTCTATCATGGGGTCCCAAGTGAAGACTCTCTCCTACTAAAACGACTTTCTGAATAAGACGGAGGCTGTGGACGAAGACTTGATGTGGAAGAGATAGATGAACTCGAATCGAGGCGAAGAAGGGATGCCGGATTGGAACTTTGTGATGGTACATTTAATCTTTTTTTGTAAAACATTTCGTTGATCGTGGTAGATGATGCAAATGCTGGTGTTTCATTAAATCTTGGATAAAAGGGACTTGCAAGTTCTTCGTTAGACGATGTTGAACCAGATGTGACTGTTTTGTCGGAAAGAAGTGTTGGGTTAACTGAATTATCTATTGAATTTGTATTGCTTGCTCTACGTTGTCCTGTAGCAGCCTCGAAGCTTGATCTTCGTGAAGATGGTGGCTTGATACTATCCAATTCTAAATTGTTAAAGAAAATTTCTAAATCACCCAATACGTCCTATATATCACCAGATAAGTTTTATAGGTAGCAAATTCATGTTAGTCATGCAGACAATAGCGGAATTACCGTAACATGGACATGTAACCGTAGCCTAGCAACCTAACCATAAAGCCTGGTTCCCATGCCACCGCGATATATTAACTCAAATCGTCCAATATATCCAAACAGTCGAATTATCATTCTATTCGATATTTTTTATTTATTCCTATCTGATATCCAACAGTATTTTACTCACCATCTTCATATGAATTCAAACTGTTTCCATCTAAAAATGGAGAGTGTTACATTGAATGAAAAGTAATAAATACATTTGCATTCGTATATATACTGCATGGAGAAGTAAAAAGAAGAATGTACCTTAACTGCACAAAATCATGCATGAAAAAATGAACAATCAAGTATATATGAATTTCGAACATCACGTTAAACTATCTAAGTTTCATTGTTAACACAATCCTTTTCTAGTAACATGAATCATTGTTTTTATTATAAAAGATATTCTTATCCGGCATAGATAAAAAAAGGTACATGTTTGGGTCAGTCGTTTGGGTTGGTTTCCTTTTTTTGCTTTCATAACTATTTACGTAATATCAAAGGAAGAAGTTATTTCCAGTTTTCAACCAGAAACAAAACAGGATGAAATTATAACTCGAAAGCCAAAATAGCTGATTACGAGAGGTATTTGGTACCCTGTACCCGGTTTGGAAACAAAAATATCATAATTGCATTCATAATAATTTTCAAAATGTCATCAAAGTCAAAATCAATTAACTGCTCAAAATGTAATCAAAAAGGAAACGTTTCAAATATTTATACGTGTATATTATAGCACATTTTAGACAGTTGATGAGCCAATTTTCACATGCATGGATTATCTACGCTTGTTTATGACGTTACAATCTGACACTCTTGAAAAAATGATTGTACAAAGCTTACTCAAAGCTTTTCTTTTCAAGAAAACCAATACGCAATAGAATTTGTTCTAATATGGATGAGTTGCTAATGAAATTCTAAAGCGGTTGAAACTTTGAATTGTGCATGAATGATGGCTTCCAAAAATTATGGCAAATGCAAAGCACCTAGCAAGCTGTCAGGCCGCTATAACCACATTTCTTGATAGTACAAAATATTATAGAAGACATGCATTTTCGTCATGTATTCAGTTTCATCACATGAATTAAAGCTCTTCACACACGAAACACATACCTAATCCATGGTCTTCACTTTGACTCTCTTTCATTCGTTTTAGAGCTTGCTGCATCGTCTTCAACTTAAATTACACCAATTTAATATATTTTTTAAGTTGACTCGGATAAAGATGTAGCTATTAAGAATATTCAGCGAAGTCATGAAAACGCCAACATTTTAAACACATGGATAACATCGTTAGTAATTCAGTCATATGTCTCACCTTGGAGAAAGATTTTTGATAGATTAACTTTCTAGATTTCTTAACATTTTTACTAGCTTTCGGGTCATTGGCCAATTTCTGTGGAAAAAATACAATACGATAATCCTATTTAGTAACTCAATCAAAGAAACTTTGATATTTCTAATAAAGCCTGGTTCTCAGTCAGCGATTTATTGTTAAAAATTTATACAAAATAACAATGCACTTTATTCTCCGCGTGCAGTGATCACCAACAATTATAATCACCAACTGTCGGTGACTTCATTATTAGAATTTAAAATGCAGGGTGAGTAAAAAAAGAACTGATGTTTTTCATAAGCAAATTTGCCGCAAAGCAGTTGGAATTCTAGACAGCAGTTGCTGGAAGTTAAGTACTCATTTATCTAAAACAAATCTTGGCCTTAAAACCAACTTATAATGGTAAGCAGAAGTTCAAAGGAATTTGGCTTGGGAATAAGGCATGCAAATAAGGAATGTATTCCAACAACCTTTTTCTATAATCGCATATCGAAATTCCTGTTCACAAGCTAAAAGGGGAATACTTCAGGATGCATGCATGCATGCACCAAAATACCTCAGCAGCATCTGTTATCTTTGACTGAATTTCAAGCTCTCGCTCTAACTTTTGTATTTTTTGTTCTCTTTCCTGAAACCAAAAACGACAATCAAAGATTACAAAGAAGATAACGGAAGTTAATTTTTTATTAGAATAGATTTTTTACTAGAGAAGAAATTAAAGAAGAAAAACATCAATTACGAAATAATAACAACTCCTTTTTTATACTGTCCGTAGGAAAGAGTACGTCAAACTATTTCTCTGACGTCATAAACAATTTGCATGCATTATCGTAAAAAAGTACATGCGCCATCTTTTTCGTTGAATGATGATTACCGGAAAGGATGATTACCGCTTTAGCCTAAACTTTAAGGCAATCTCTTTGGTGCACGTGTATTTAAACAAAAAGGATGATGCCATACCTCAACAAGATTGTCCTCAATTGCAAAGTCTGAGAACGTGAACGATGTTCCAACACGTTTTCTCACAGGAGGTGGGGAACAGTTTGGATTAAAAGGCGTTTCAGGAGGATATTCCCCAGTGATATTCTGTTAAAAAGTGCGGATACTCATTTACTGTTATGAACGAGATGAAACATTACATACATTCAAGTAAATGAAAAAAGTTGGTTGAAATATTGAACGATCTCGCAATATCATGGCAGATCATAATGAGATAAATCCGTGAACATTATAGCAACTTCGTACAGCTATAAAAATATACTTACAGCTTCGCGAAAACAAATCTGTCTTAACTCCTCAATCTTTTCCTTCAGCCTTGTCTCTAAAGCTTCCTTTCTTGCCGCAAGTGCCGTAATCATTTCCTTTTGAGCAATTTCCGATGATATACCGCTCTCTCCTAAAGCGAAATACACCAACATGAAAGCAGTTAAACTATATACCTATTAGTTAATATCTACTTTTTTTAATTTTAGCGGAAAACAAAGCCATGCAAAACCGTTGAGAGGGAGGATGGGGGGAAGTAAATATACCGATCGATATACGCCCGACGAGAAAACGAATCAAATAAGATAATTATTAGGAGCATAGAAACCCTTTTCAGCAGAACTTATTATACCTCCATTAGAGGAATGTCCACTTTCACTGGGTTCACTGGAGTCTGATATCACTGACGCCATTGATGAGTTTAGTGAACCACTTGAACGGGATAATTCATTTGCGATGTCTTCTAAAGTTCTCGGTGTGGTTGACTTATCCTTTGAAAATTGAATAAAAAAAAGCATTTTTGAAAATGTTTCCCAGGAATTCTCGTCGGTGTAACTATAATGCGTTGCAGATGGATAAAACAGCCAAAACATTAAATTAAACGGACTGGTCATTAAATATGGAAAGAGAAGGGGGCTCCCCCCACTCTAATTTCTCGCTGAAATTAGAAATTTTGAAACAAAAAATCTACCCCCCCCCCAAAAAAAAAATCGTATACAATTTCAAGAGCCCCTCTATATACATCTCTTCTACACTTTTTTATTCCCCTTTGTCCTTTTGAAAATCACACTATTATACAGTATGGCTGACCTGGGTAGGGCAAAGAACGGCGAAGAAGTGATTTTAAAATGGTACTAAAAACATGGCTGGCATTAATCGTGGGTATTGCTAGTTAAATTAGTTAAAAATCATAAAATACATAGGTCTCTAAAAGAGCTCTCTCTACGCTTGCGTCGAGAGGAGCTTATGAACCACACGTGCATTCGAAGGATGTTATTTTACATTTTTTTTCATTAGGAAATTGACTCAGAATCTCTGTGTGATTGCTAACCTCTTTGTCTTTTCTATCCAAATAAAACTGATGTTGACTAATTGCCATTGACCACATTGCTTTTGCTTGCGCCGTTGTACCGGCATACCAGGCATGTATCAGAACGCGTGTCTGACCGTTTACTCGACGTCCCAGCGAGTTACTTCTGTAATAAAAACATAATTTTCGATTGTTATAGGGACATATTTTAGGATCTTTGGAAGACAGAGTAATTGGCTGTATATCTGCATGGGTCACATGCCAGGTAAATTTGTTTTAAGGCTAGTTTCCACTCAGCAAAATTCTCCTTTGGATCGGACAGGACAGGAAAGTTTCCTTTGTATAAACGCCGCCTGCATGAGAACTCACCGACAAAGGAAATTTTCCTGTCCGTATTGATCCAAAGCAGATTTTTCCTGAGTGGAAACTAGCCTTTAGTCACTGCAAAGCGCCCTTTTTCACACCGTCCAATAAACACGTAATATAGTGGGAAGGGGCTCCGCCCTACCTACACCAGGGGCCAGTAGTACGTATACACATGAGACTGTTCATCCCTTTGTTCAGCTCAAATTTCTCCTGAAATACGAAGTGCGAAGCCCCCGACTTGCGAGCAAAAGCTTTTGCAACACGCAGCAGGCCCTACGGTAAAATGAGGTCATTTTTCTTGCAGCTGGCAAAGCAATTCTACTTTTGAGAGATGTAAATTAGTGAACAGTTTTCGAAATTTATATATGAGAAAACATCTGTGAAGTGTAATGAACACAAGTTTCCTACTTGCCAAATTTACATTTCTCTAAGGAAGAATTGAATGGAAAGTCCTAAGAAAAAACGCACTCTGTAACACAGGCAGTCCTCAATTACCCTAACAAAACTTTCCTAATTTGGAGCTTTCAGATCCCTTTTTTGCACCGAACTAAGCGATAATTTTGCGCTAAACATCTGGACGTGTAGCTCCCAGATGCTTGTTACCTAATTAATATGCTCGATATACGATATAAATGGAAGGATAGAATTGTGAGAAGAGCTAAACAGTAGGAACGACATTGATTTTAAACCATATACTCTAGGATAATAATGCATGTGAACGAACCTTGCGCGACCACCATCCAGACTTACTTCAGAAATTCTATAAAATATCCAGTTGTAGATTAATTTGTTTCGTAGTTATCACACTGACCAATAGTTTATATTTCTTTTACTTTAGCTTGTTAAACGTATTAAGCACTATTACGCTACATATTTTGTTTTTGTGTACAAGATATATGAAGAGTGGATCTTAAGAAGAGGCCATGCAGTCAAAAACCTATAGTTTTTGAAGTAATTCTGTTTTGAATCAATCAGAAGGACCTAAAATATATCCTACATAATAAATTCAAATAATACAAGGTTTGCAAAAACTCATCTTACTTGCGAAGATTTTTAATTTCAATTGAAAATTTTCGTTCTTTAAAATATAGATTTTCAATTTGATGCCATTTGTAGACCTTGAAAAAGAAATCATGTCAGAATATTATGTTCCATAGAGAGTGCTGTAATAATGATAAATAATAGCGAAGTTCAGATTAGACTTTCGCAACTACAACCTAGCTCCCGCTGATCTATTTCGCTTGTGATTGGTTAATCTGATAGACTTATCACATTTGATTGGTTCATGCTCCTTCAATGGTAGCTGTTTAGCGGGTAGTCAATTCTGAACCTATCTAATACTAACTAGTAACGTGACATTTTCGCATGCGTTCGAGACAAATATCAAAGAAGGTACTATTGGCTAATGAGTGAATGAACTTGAAATACTTTGTATAAACCGGCAGTGGATTTTAAAAGGATTATTTTATTAATTCCCATATATGCCATAAAAGATAAACGCTGGTCCATCTTTAATCGTGCACTTCTTAAATAAAGTGTCTTTGAAAATGTTTACCTGAGAAAAATTATTCTTCTATATGCACGCATCCATGCATAAAAAATAGTTTAGACCTATTCAAGGGTCTTATAACACCCATCTGACGTATGCGACGTGAGAACATTGCCGACTGGATATTGTGTACTAAACCATAGTGGTCAGGTGGTATAGTTTACCAAATATCAGACATTAATATTATGTTTGTGATGTCCAGACGATCTAACACTATATTTTATACAACTAACTGAAGTCAACATCGGACTGATTGGTGTGATATAGGTAGACTATGTATACCAAGCATGCATATGTTTTGGTATCTTCAAAATGTGAATTTTAGACCCAAAATAAGTTTATCCTACTCATCCTCTTCAAAAATGTTCGAGATTTTACAAGAACATTCCTTATGCATATGAATTTCGTCGTTTTAAATCTTGGCTTGCAACTTGGCAGCCATGCAGGACTCCTGGCACCAGCTCACGCACATATATGCACAAAGTAAATTTGAGCATCTCAGATTTTTTTATTGGCGTGGATTAAATTCAGTGTTTAACAGACATGTAGCCAGCAGTCTGTTGATTCATGGCTATATATACTTCATTCCCAATAACATTACGACATTCATATCTACGATAAGTGTCTTTAACTCTAAGTGCACTCATTGACCTTTTTCGATCAAATGGATAACATGGCCTTGAGCAACAAAATATTAGCAAAGATTTCGTGCGGTAAGAGATGGTTATGCATGATCTATCTTAAAAATACAATAAGAACTCTGTTCTGAGATAAATCTACACACTGGCTTAAAACTTAATTGCAGACGATGTATTATGAAATTCCATTTCATTATTTTCCCACAGCGATTGATCTCCAAACACATAGCTAACAAATATACGACTGACCTTTCTGGGCTTGGTTTTGTCTGAATGATCATAAACACCAACCCCCTTTGGACTCATACCAAGCCACCATGGAATATTTCCTTTATCCTGTAAGAGAAATATATGTAGGATATTACACGATTGCGAGTAAATATGGATTTTATGGTCGAGTTGCAAAAACAATATCTCGCGAAATTATAGCCTAAACTATAAAGTAGGATAAATTCTACTTATCTAAGGATGTCTTTTAAGTCTTTTAATTTGTATTTTCAACGTTAATTTCGTTTTATATACGAACCAAACACTATTTGTATATTACAACAACAATGAAAATGGTAGGAAAATTTTGAAACTCGTTATGTCACCCCCAAACGTAACGTATGGAAAATATATCCGCACTGTACCCTGGATGTAGTGGCGTATGCGTTTTACGAGTGTTTTAGTTCTCAGTAAAATACCCTTAGCCATATAATAAAATATCACTATAGCATATATGGCTAACGAAATTCCATGTCTTCTCGATTTACTTTTATTTACGAATACTATTTTATAAAAAGTTACACTGTACCTTTACTTCATAATAGTGGACACCATAGGTTGGAATCGTCCGGAACTTATTCAAGTACCTTGGAAAAAAGAAACGTTTACAAACTTTTTTATTTCCAATTGTCATTTCCATTTGTTAAAAGAAGTTGTAATAAGACGAAAACTGCTCAGGGCCGGATTGTATATAGCTTCCTTGTTGTATAGCTACTAGCTATAAAGTAGCTATAAAGACCATTGCTTGGAAGAAATTAACATATTTGCATCTATAACGGCGTATACCCATATTCATTACCAACAAGTTTTCAATCGCCATGAAAATATTCATACCTAGACGTTTCGTATACCATTCTTATACGAGAGATTAAAGCACAGCCTTTAGCAGAGTTTCGTATATTAGAACGAAAAGTCAGAAACTTTAGGATTGATTACACAACGATGCATATACACACTTGTGCAATACAAGAGATATTTGCTGTTATGAAATATTATTTAAAGGTCTTGCAATTTAACAACTGAAACTCTTCCGGTTTCCATACCAACAGGAAATTAATTGAAACTTATATTGTACACAACAGCCATATATAGTTATGGTTAAATATATGCATTATTCATTCATCGATCTAGTGTTGTTTGTTTCAAAAGTCAGCCTGAACCAGAAGAACTGAAGTAGTATGATTCAATATTGCAGTTGCATGATTTGCACAAATAAACAAGCCACATGAAATACTCCCATGCAGATGCAGTCAACAACGATACTTTCCATTACGAACTTGCGTGAGGCATGAAGAGATTTATGAAGAGATTTACGAAGAGATTTATCCGACACTTGAATTCACTGAGATTTAAAAGCAAGAATATTATTATCAAAAATAGACATTAATTCACTCAAAGACAGCCACAGTCAACACAAGTAACGACGATATATGAAATACCAAATATGGTGAACTTTTTATACACACAATCACTGTTGCATGGGTATAACTCCTTGAGTAATAGATTGATTTCAAAGGTTTATGTGGTTACGTAACGTTACATGAGCTGCATGGTATCCCATGCAATGCCATTCTACGAAAATGGCGACGTATACATTTGTCTTTATATATGCAAACATGAATACAGGGAACTACGTTCTAAATAATTCTTCATCAGAAGGTAAATATAGCGATCAAACATAAATATAACTTATATAAGCGGCAATATATCATAGATTTGGTTACGACTTACTCGACAATGGCTTGTCCTTTTCGCATTTTCTCCAAGCCACGATAATGGCCAATAACCATATTTTCACTACGAAAAATATATGATCATTGAATAGACATATAAAACCTCGCGAAATTAAAACAGTTCAAAGCGGAAAATAGTTGGCCTAACCGGCCATAATTTGCATCAAACGAGGTGGACTCGGTTCAATTACCGAGAACTATAGCAAGAGGATCTAGATACCTGGCTGAAACTTAGTCCTTTTATGGTCATATAATTATCTGTTATAATTATATATATGAAGTTATTAAAATTAAATTAAAAAGTTACTGCATACATCGTCGGCATTCCCCTCATACCCATTGCTTTGTATATATATAATCATACGTTTGTCTACTGCATGTATTCATATGTGAATTATTTTCTGAAAATTTGTATATTAAGACATTTGGAATCAAACGATATTGAAATTTGACATTTGATGTTGATGAGAATTGTTCCCAATTGGTTGAAATTTAGTGCATTTGTGTACCCGCTGACAGAAAGTTGATCAATTTGAACGAATGTAGCTATATTCACTAACTCTGCATGCATGCTATCTGCTTATTTCCGAACGTATTTACAGTCAATTCACTCGTTATATTTCTAGGTGTGGGTAAAGAACACGCTGTAGTAAAAGTTAATTTGAAGAAATCCCACGCAAGAACAGTTAACTATAACCGACAAGTTTTATAACGAAACTGTTATCAGCCTGTAGCAACTAGCAGGGATCATGCAAATTCAGTTATGCAAATTTTATGCACATTCTATGCAAACGTTTGTCCCAACACACGCATATATACCAACCAGTAAGTTATTGACGGATGTTCTTTCAATGTTCTTGTTGGCAATATGGGCACCTTCTTCATGTCATTTTTTGCAGCATTTTCGCTATAAACATAATGATGGAGAAATTGAGAAAACGTTACTATGCATGCATGACAACTTGCATTTCAGCTTATATAAGTCAGGGTAAGGCTTATCATTTGTTTAGCTGCATGGTGTTGCATGTGGTTTCATATAAAAGAGACTAGTCCTCTTCGTTTCATTATTGAAACATTTGTAAATAATATTGTTTAATGACCTTAAAACCGGCACCAGTGGTGCTACACTGCATGCATACCGCATGAGAATAAAGCGCTGCATGGTATGAAAATTGCATAGGTTCGATTCCCACGCAGTTGGGACACACAGAAATACTTCCTTATCAAACGATTTAACTCCTTTTGGACAGTCTGCTCCGAATCATTATTCCCCACAACTGGGAACATCCAGCATATATAATATGACGCACTCAAACATTTCCAACCATGCACTGAATCATACGGGAAAAGTATTGCATTGAAACTATTTAAACGGCGATGCAGAAAGGAGTCACAGAGTATTAATAATGTATTAATCATTAATAATTAGTATATACACTTACTTCGTGAAATCACCAAATGTGGCCTGTAAAAAGTTAATGAGCAGGTCAATCGTAATTCAACATATCTAGAGTAACGTTTTCTCAAATTTATTGCTTTTTATACAATTCAAACATAAATCATTTTAAACTAAACCGTTTGATTTGAAGCTTATTTGTCATGCGGTCCACGAATTCTACTGAATATATACGTACCTGTAAAACGTAAGCACCCAGTTCGAAGACAATATTGCTTTCACAATGAATGTTTCCCTGCAAATGAGAGAACATAATATAACTACAGAGAAAAATTGAGCAATTTCATAATCTTTGGCACACTTTCAAAAGCATGTAATGTAGTATCATTGTTCATGGACTTTTTCACTGTCAAAGAAACCGGATATAACGTCATTATGAGAACTGCAAATTAGTTTTGAAGGCTTCGTAATATTTAAGACGACATTCTGAGTCATCAACATGCAGTAAAAAAGTCAATGAAAAAAAACTAAATCCAACACAAAAATAATACAAAAGCAGATATGTTTTATAGACCAAAATTCATGAATTTTAAGGTAAGTTGTTCTTTCTATCTTCCAATAACTTCTCCCAAAAGACGTGAAAAGAAAACTGAACAATTCCTTACTATGGCTTATGCACTGTTTGGATGCTTTATATTATGAAAAAGTCTCCTAAGAATTCCAGAGTAACTGTCATACTCGAGAAATCAAAAATGGCTGGCGCTTGAAATTCAAGTTGATGAAGAACTTGTCAGGTAATTTACATTAGGTATTTTACATTATGCAAATTATTTTTGATCGGTTTAAAAACACCCGGTCCCGTCCTAAGGCTAAGGTTTCGAAAATAGCTAAAGCCAGCTCTAGCGGGTGTTTCACATGCTAAGCTAAGAACGATTTTAATTTTTTTTTAATCTTTTTAATCCATCCTGCATGTTTGATGGCGCTTGATATCCTTACGAATGATTCAAGATAAACTTCCTGTAAGCTGACACCTTTGGGAGTGTCCGCGCTTTTAAGAGGCAAGAAACATTAAAAAAAAGAAAATATGCCGTTATAACATTTGCACGGTTTAATACATGTACATGCCATCAGCCATATGACATGCACAGTACGTCCGTACATCTGTACTATCTTTAAGTATTCTTTCAAGTAACGCTTGATAATAAGACAGGCAAATGCCACTTGGTGTGCCTGTCTGGGCGTATATTTGAAACAGCATACGTAACATACCTACGTAGTGATATGCATGCATATCACATACTGAGGTCGCATCATATAGCTATCACATTTCAAAATACTCAAAAAAAGTACTTGATATAGGATACAGATGACAGATCCTACTATTAAATTGCGCAAAATGGTAACCTATGAGGCAATGATACAAAAGAAAACAATCTTTTTAACATTTTATTCTTTTCAATAAAATTACGAATCTGGAGCAGGTTGTATACGATGGCTAGACAGCACTATCTCCGACACTATCAATTAGATTTAATGACATTTTCCAAATGTAACCACTTTTTGATAAGGTTCGGTGTTTATAAGTTTAGTTTTTTTTTAACGTGTGTAGTGTTTTTATCATTTTATACCAATTAAAAATTCAGGTATCTGGCAAACAAGGTTTTATTACTTTCTGATAAATTAAATATTACTGCATGAAAAAAATAAACTCGAATGGCTATGCGAAAAACAACCTTTCAAAAGTTCTTTACTTTGAGAATCAAAGTTTTCCTCACTCAACCTCAGTTACAATGTACCCAAACTAACCTTGAATATCAATGTTTTTGCTTGAAGATAAAACAGTTCCACGGTTACTTTTTCTTTAAAATAAGTTATACTTGGTACATAAAACCTATTAAAATGAAAATTATTATTTTTAATGTCTGTTCACATGATCACCATTTTAAAATAAAATACAGCCCATAGTGCTTTTTTAGAACACCTGGCTATGTTATTGGACTAGCCTTGAAGGGCCATGGGTCATTGAACCTGAGAAGTTGATGATTAAATTAATAACTAATCGATACAGCAATTAGATTCTTATTTACATAAATACCAAATTTTGCATTATGGTACATCCTTAAATATTTCTAGAATTCGTTTTTTATATTTTTCTAACAGCCAAGGGTCACTTGGAAATTAAACTACTAAACCAACTCTAATTCCTGCATTTAAAAATTCCTGTTGTTCAAAATTCTGTTTGTTCCTATTCCTGTTTAATAAGAAACTGTTAAAGTTTTTGTTTTTATTAAACAAGCTATTAAAGTTTTTTTTAAAATTCAACAAGTTTTTACTTACAATTCCAGGTTTAAACAATAAAGCTTTAAAAAGTTCAGAATACCAGTAATGCTGAGTTGAAACAGTTTACATTACATAACTATTGGTATTGGAATCAATTAAGTAAGAACTACAGATGTGAACGAACCTAACAGCAAAATAAAATACAATAGGATCAGCATATCGCGGAAGATCGTGATCTAGAACTTTCCGTTCAAGACTCAACCAGTTTTCATTTCCTCTAGAAAATATAGATAAACATAAAAGTTAATATATATACAACTTGTGGTCCATCTTAACAACTCCTCCAAACCTGTCAATGCCACTCAGGCATTTTACCTCCATATAACACACTGGTTCATGTAAATATATTAACCACTAACAGGTCATTAACACATTGCACCCTGGTTCCAATATAGACAGGGTTAAACATGGGCTTCTTCAAACAACCTCGCAATAAATGTTGACATTTTGACCTGAGGCTCTTAATAGGTCAAAACTTTAGGCAGTTGTTACGGTATAGTGGTTTTATATTCACTTTAATGTTTGAAAAAAGAATTTTGCTTCAAGCATATCAGAAAGGTTATTCATATCTCATTTTACAAGGTATATCTACCACAAAGGTCTAGAAAATTAATTAATATAACATGATTTAGAAGTGCACATGAAGTACAATTAGTGCAGATTTTATTTCATCAACCCATAGTGGCTAATATCTTTGATGCATGATTCTGAAATGTTTAGTGTGCTGCTAGCAAACAATCTCCAACAAAATTAGGTTCAAATGAGATTTCGGAAGAACTTCACTGGTGAAGTGAAAAATATTTTAAATAAAACCCAAAAGTTTCATTTAATTACCCACAGAGCAGTTTTGGGGATAAGAAAGCAAACAAAATGATCAAGTGTTCTACTTCCTTAATTTTGATTGACAATAGTTTAAAATCATAATTTATATGTTCTTTATGTTCAGGAAATGTCCTAGATAGAGAATTCAAAGCATGCAATCAAATAATTATCAGATCAGACATTAGAATCAAAAGCCACATCTGCCTACTTTTAAGCCAGAAACTAAACCACAGTCATGTATATATAAATTTTAAATTGAGTATTAAAGTCCTTCCACACGAAAAACATCACCAAATCAGAAAGATGATTTGGAAGAACCAAGGATGTAGAATGTAAATTATTGTTGTATATTTCATACGATAAAAAAAATTCCAAAGGGAATTTAGAATTCGAATGTCACAATTATGAACTTCGATCAAATGTATAGAATCGCAGAATTATTTTTGCTCACATCAACAAAGATATTCAAATTTGCGTACTCGATTTGACGATAGGAAGTACTAGTTGAAGTTTATCAGTATGCCGAGTTTCTTTAGGATTTACAGATACAAAACAACGATGCTATATCAAACTGTGAGGCAATATAATATTCTTGACAACCAAAATTAACTATAAACTTGTTGTTAAGCCATATTATTGCCCATGATGTCCTGGCTTAGCCACAGTCTATGGGTATGTTTGCTAACAGCTGTTAAGTTATTTTGTTTGAGTTATATCTTATTCGCTTTACACGTTAAATAAAACTTATACCGCGTAGATCACACCCCTTTATGTAAGTAAACCAAGTACCTATGTCAGTATTCATAAGCAATTGAGAAATTGTACAAAAGCGAGTGTATAAAAAGGCAAACCAGAAACTTACATATCATCCGTATGATACAATCCAAAATATTCCTTCTCGTGCAGGTTAAAATATGATGCTACCATATCTAAAAGTTCTCGTGCGATAAGTCGCGGCTAAAGGATAAAACAAACAGCATTATCTTAACAATACTTTGAAAGGGTTTACATTTATGTAGACACTTCAATAGTTAGTAGTTACTGACAATCTGAAATGCCTTACCTGAACTAAGAAATCAAGTTTACGATCGTCTAGCAAGACAACCTGAGCTCTTCGGGGTATACGAGCATCGGTCATCTTGGACAAAATTCCTTCGACAGAACATCAAGATCGAACATAATAACGAAATGTTTACATCCTTGAACCATGCATACTCCGAGTAAGAAGGCTATAAAAATCCATGTTAATTTTAGTTCGACAATAGACTGCATTCATAACAGCGATCTCCATATTACCGCTTCCGTTTACGTGCCAAACAATTTTTAAACATCCCATCATGCCTGGCGTTTCATCAAAGATTCATCGGCGTCGCAGCTGGGACATGCTCGGGCTGGGGTACCAAAAAGAAACGTCACCAGTAAATGCATCGCTGAATTTCATAAAATCACACACTCTTGATGAACCGGACATTCTCAAATTAAAATTCGGAATCGTTTATAGTGCTGGGCGCTAAAAGGATTTTTATTTCAACACACCGAATTAGCCTTTCTCACGATGACGTTTTTGTGGGTACTTTCAACTCTCTCAAATAGGTTTAGACAACATGAAAAGCAATTTTTTTAGAATCAACAGACCATTTAAAGAATAAATTCAGCCTGAAAATAAAAATAGTCGCCGTTACGAGGTCTTTATGCTGTTGGTTTTGAAAAAAGTACCCAAAAAAAGGCGGCATATTCCTCATCGTAAGAAAGGCTAATAGCATCCGATAGTCTAGATTACTGTGATGCTGATGTATAAAACCCTAGAGTATCATTATCCCCTTGTACTAAACAGGATGTTATTTAACGTCTGCGTGCTGGCTAGCTATATATGGCATCATTACAGTATTTAGTTAAGTTCGTTGAATCGTACTTGAAATAAAAAACCGCATGAACGGTTCGAGGTTGATGTGTTCGAACCATTAACCGTTCTGACCCTGAATGCAAATCAATTAAACATGGAGATACAGTAACCTCGTCTATTGTTTTATTTATTTCGTGCAAGATCACAATACAAGATCACAACGACTAAATAATATGTACAAAGTATAAAACAGTGGATACTTTTGTACCATATGCAGTGGTAGATTCTATTTTATTCTGTATTTACATGAATACAAGGAGTTACATTACCCACACGTTTAAAACTAAGTTAACTTATGACATGACTAACCGTATAGAAGTACTACAGCTATGATGTAAGTAAGTAAATAATCTAAAGAGTAATGAAGACCCTAATATTTCTTCTCTACTCGTGCTAAATATTACATGAGTATATTCCTTGCCGGTGCGAAATATTATTTTCAAAAGATGAATGAAGATAATGAATGACTGATTACCATGCAGTCACGTTTCACGTTATTTTTATACTATAATATATGCATGCATGTAATCGTATTACGCAAGAAGGGAATACAAATCCAAGTTCAGTTTTATGTAGCCAATACATCAGGAGAATCAATCCTGAGTCCTGAAACTGTTAGCTTGTCTTTTATCTCCGCCATATCTGAAAATGAAAAAAATATTTTGTTTTGATGGATATATTCAACAATACATTATTAATACACATTAATAAAATCACCCAGTATATTTTCGGCTTTAAAGAGTGATGGTGTAGAGTAATTTATTTCAAGGTTTACGGTACGTTGGAATCGAAGGCAGAAGGGTTTAAGAATAAGGTGGTGCGTACCGGCCTAAGTGCGGATTTCCCGTTCAGGGCGCTACGCCCGGTCTGGCTACTACATAAAGGCGATTCTCCATTACGTCCGCTCCGCCCGTGCGGGTGAAGCGGACGGTAATGGAGAATCGCCTTAAGTTTCATATCGGGTGAGTGCATGCCTTTGTAAACGGAATTTATTAAACGGAATAATGTAAACGGAACATTATTTAGGGAACGTAACATTTAGGGAACGTAAATATTATTTCTGATTATACATCCAATTTTCATGCAAAAGAAAAAGACATATTACAATGTTAGTTACCTAGTTTTAACTGCTGATTTTCAAACATAAGATCTTGATTTGTCGCAGAGAGAAAAACCGCATCTTGTATGGCTTCTTCGAGCAATGATCGATATCGTTGTTCAATTGCTAACTTTTGTTCTTCAAAGACATCACGATAGTTTCTGAAGGTCTAGAAAGGAAGATAAATTAATAATGAATGACGCACCGATACAGCGGTACTTGAAGCAAATGAGATGAATCTGCGTGAAAGATAAACTGACATCATGTAAACTCGAATGGAACGAGAGCTGGATCACACAAGATTAGAGACTAAAAGAAAGATAACTAAAGGATAACCTATGAATATCAGCCAATAATATTATTCGGACTAACCTGAAAGTTCTGCAACTGTTGTATTTCCGTTTCTTCTTTGTGTTGCTTATAAGCAAGCTCGAGATCGCTTTGTAATCTTTTCTTTTCATTTTCAAGAGCCTGGATCTGACAGAACAAATTAATTGAAATTGTACTATTAACTCGAAGGGTCATGTTGGAAGATCTTCCTACACTGGCCTGATAGTCTTCACAGACATGTAGAAAACTGAATGCAGTCGATAAAAACGATTAAGATATTGAACGTGCAATATTATAGTATTTTTTTCTACTGCATTTACAGTATAAGTAAGGACTAAGCGAAGAAGATTCGAAACAGAATTAAAATTCAACTCATTGTATTTGGGTCTCCCGACAGTTAATTTGAAGGGTTAGCCAACTAATTTATTCTGAAGGTAAAAATAGAAACAAAAGCCGTCGAGTCGCCGCGTAATATAAAATATGGTTTAACATCAAACAGATTATTTCGCCAAAGTCAACGATCGATATTATTCTAATAATTTCTCGTTAATATTTTATGACGTTTGCGGTCAAATTGAGCTAAATATAAGCAAAACTGCATGTTGTGAATAATCAAGGACTTGTATATATATGTTGATAATCACGGACTTGGTGTTGTCAAACGGCTCCGACATAGCTATCACTTGTTCTACTGCATGAGCTTGAGTGACTAATGTTCTTTATGTGTAAATAGTTCAGTGGAGGTTTGGTCCTAACTATATTAAGAACTGTGGCCATCTGTTTAAACTTGTACTATCTTACTATATCTTCGATATGTGAAAACATCTTAATATATTTTGAAAAACATAGAAAAATCATCAGTATCATCTCCACGTGACGTCAAACGTGCAAAAAACAAAGATAAAAGGAGAGGACCGTCTCTGAAAGATTGTTTTGATTGTTGGAATTATAGGTTTCACGCAAATGTCGCATAGACAACACAGGCATTATTCTACCTTTAGAGACATTACAGCCCTTTCTGCCTTTAATTCGACAATTTCCATTTCAAGTTTGACGCCATTTTCTGTGCTATATACTGTCCCTTCAGCACCTTTTAACTAGAAGAACACAAAAACAACATCTCTCAACATCAATAAATCGTCTTTTGGATTGCAACATTTCTAAATTTTAAAATACACCTAATGCTATATATAGCTGTCAGAGATAATATCACTAAGAAAGAACCTGTAAGTCTGCCTTTTCTTGTTCACTCTCCATTTTAATTCTATCAGCTTCTTCAACCAAAGTGGCTGCATTGTCTTTCTCGTATCGGTCTCTCTGTTCACTCTAAATTCAAGAAGCAAACACTGATACATTTTGATGCTGAAACATTGATTTTTGCAGGTACGGGCCTATGTTGGATGATTACGTTCGCAGACAGTTCATTGCCAAGAGGGTTCATGACAACAAACGTCCAGTGATGAGTTATTATCCAGTTCTTCACTGAGCCTTTCCTTTTTAACTATACGCAAAAGGGTATTAAAGAGTTTGATGCAACCGGTCACAGTTTGTAAACATTTACCTGAAGGCGCTGGCGAAGTTCTGTGTTTCCCTTTAAAAACGATGTTTGACTCTTTGCTTCCTGAAAATATGAAAAAATCTAATTAAATAAAAGTTTCTTCATGATATTGCAGCTGTGATAGTGATGTTGAAACCCTGCTGGTTATCATGCACTCAATTAATGTGATTAATGTAATGATTTATGGTACAGTTCTCAAGATATCCCTTAGTTCATGTTTATTGAGAATCTAAGTAAGCTTCTAGAATACATGCGCGAACGAGGCGATAGTTTTAAACTATTCATCTTTATTCTTACTTCTTTCTCGATTTTTTGTTTCTCCTGATTTTCCTTCAGTTGGTGTTTAATTCTCTTAAGATTATCATTTTCCTGTTTCAATCTTTCTTTCATTTCCTGGATTTCCGATATTTTGTTTTTACTTTCTTCCTCTTTATTTTTACCTGCTCAAAAGTAATGGATTTTCATAATTTTATTATCATTTCTGTGGAATTATATTTCGCAATTACACCTGAGCTAAAAAACTACGCTTATATAATATACTTTTAAAAAATATATATTACGTAATAAACGAGGTTTACCTGACTCAACTAGTTTTGAATATTCAGTAATTTTAATTTGTAGTTCATCCTTCATTTCGTCGACAATTCGTCGTCTTTCCTTGTACTCAATCATCAACTAAACATAGATAATAGATTTATTCTCATCCTACGAAAGAACATACATGACGCTTACTTTAGGAATTTATCAAGTGAAAAATCACGCAGCCGTACGATTTCTCCTAATTGGATTATTACTGAGGTACTAACCAATGATTCCGAGCAGTATAGAGTTCATTAAGTTTTGTTTTCATAGATTTGTCGCTTGCATTTACCTGATCCTTTTCCTTTCGCAGTAAAGCGAGCTTTTCTTGAATCTCTTTATTCTCTTTCTTTATCGAGTCAAATACCCAACCAAGAATACCCTGGATACGAATGAGTACAGGCGAACAAAATTAATACATCTTGAAGTATTTAAGAAAGGCTACAAGGCATGCAGCCTCAGAGCTATTTCTCTCAATGTGCAAACAGATTATGACACATCGTTTTAGGGCCGACTGACTTTTACATAATAATTGCTAATAATTTATCCAGTTTGATAGTATAGAAGCACCATTGCCAGATATGTGCCTGGAGGGAACCGTATTTGTATAATGAATAGATAAACATATTGCTTTATAAGAGCCAATCAATCCACGTTTAAGAAATTCTAATAGTAACGTTTCGTGTTCATCATGTGTGTCAAACCACACGTCATTTACATCGTAATCCTAATCATTTCGTAATCCTATCCTCTTAGTTTGACGACGTCGTAGGATGAACGAAATCTTCAGGAACCTAAATTGTTTGACGTTGGGTTCCCCCAGTAGCTAACAGCTTCACTGTCGTCATAAATACCTTGTTTGCTAAGTTAATTCGTCTTTCCTCCTCGTATCGATGTGAAAGTCGCTCTTTTTCTTCCCAAGTCTGTCTCTTCGCCACTTGCAGCTCTCGAACCTTTTCCTGCAAAAGTTAAATATTAAACTGCATGGTATGTACTCTATACAATACGTACCAGTATGATGGTGGCATGTACGATAAGTGCATGGTATATACTCTAATACAGTACCAGTACGATGGTAGTATGTACTCTAATTAATAGAGAACTAGTATGTAGGGTAGTACCTCCATTTGTAAAACATCATCTCTTTCTGGACTTTTAGTGAACTTCTTATCAATTAATTTATCACGAAGACGTGAGATTTCTGCTCGAAGTTCTTCAATCACTTCAATGTTATCAATCTAGAAATGATAAAAAGCGACATTTATTAGGCCACGTATGCAAAATGTAAATCTCCTTTACTTTACAATATGTAACAGCCTCATTCCCAGGCTCTTTAAAGTACTTCGCGGAGAAAGCACTGAGAGCGCGATGCCGCGAAGTACTTCAAGGGGGGTCTGGGAACGAGGCTGAATATGTAACATGTGAAGGTATTAAATATTACATTAACCGATTCTTCGTTATTACTTCCATTTTTCAAATAGTTCCAGCTTACCTTGTTTTTGGTGATACTGTTCTGTATATTTCTTACTTTAGATGCAATTTGTAATGTAGACAATGTCTCATGGAAATCAGCGTCTGGTAAATAAAAGTTTTGTGAATAAAATTTAAGAACCCTGTATCAAAAACAATTGAAGCATACAAAAATTGCAACAAAAACAAAGAAAAAAGCCCAAAAATGAAAATAACCTGCTGGTGATACCGCAGCGATGAAAAATGTTTGACAATTTCCGCCAAAAGATTCCTATGTATCAAAAAATTGTAGAACAAAATATTTTTTGCCGCACTCAACAGAAGGTATCAACCATTCCTTTGCAAAATATACAGCAGGCATAACAGCTCACCTGAAGGAGACTGGTTAGTTTCGATTGATCATAAACAACCTGATTTGCACGATTTGATTCTGATATTGTTGAAATGACATTCGTCAATGAATTTATGCTTAAATATAAAATATTTATTTCATAGGGATCTGATTACTGATGGTTACAGATAACGCAACAAATTGATTTAGTTCAGGATTAGTTTCTGTTATTGTTATTGGCCGCTTACAGGTTAATTCTAGTTTTTTTTTAACTAAAACGAAATAACTTTTTGTCAACGTTATATTATACGTAGACAATCCAAAATGTGTTCTCGATTGTCTATATGTATTAACAATTAATTCGATATTGAGCTACAGAACGATAGGCATTTAGTGATAACCATGCATACGATGTGACCAATGCAAACGCCTTCAAGTAAATCTACCTTTTCTCGATGGAGCTGGAATCTTGATGTTTCTCAAGACTTTCAGGAAAATGATCAGAGTCTAAATAGTTAATAAAAAGCGGTTTGCTTGTCGTACTTGATTAATTAAAATATATTGATGAAATAAATGGAGATATGCATGTTACATCATTTGCAGGATAACGCAATATTTTTGTCTTAATCGGCGGATTTGACACGATTATCCTCTTCGAACGCAATAATACTTAAATTTCAACAAGAAATGGACCAAGTTCTGATTTTTATTTCATTACCATATCATTATATAGTTTAAAAAACGTCATTAGAGTAAATGCAGGCATGCAGAAGGCTACCTGCTAAATTGACAATTGTTAGCTTTGCTTTCAATCCTTGGTGATCTGGTTTACTGAGATCTTTTTTCTGGATATCAATACTGAACACTAAACTGCCTCGCCTATATAAATAGCATAATACACGGTTAAGAAAAAATTACTGTACTCTAATGCAAAGACTATAAAACAATCAGAGTACTGGTTCAGAACACTTCCGAGAAGGTAACTTTTTCTATATTTCTAGGTATTCCCATAAAAAGAGCGGTTGAAACAGTTGCATAACGTAAACAAGAATTATACATTTCCCTTACCTAAAGTCGTTGTTTTGCTCTTGATTTGACAGAATCTTATTAACTCTGTTGCCTTGTTCAAAAAGTTCTTGCATGTCCTCACCATTGACGCAAACGAGTTCAGACAAACCATCAACAAAGCTGTGGTGGACATTAATAACGACGACGTGATTCAATATAACTTCATACATAATTTCTCGTTTGGTCGAATGTTTTTAAATGTTGCCTGATATTTTGTGTGTTAAATTATAACTATAACAAGCTCATCAACTTACACTCCAAGCTGAGCATTTTTGCTAACTTTTAAATCCTGACCACTGGGATTCAAAAGATCATGAAGAATATCCTGATAAACCTGAAAGATGCAATATGCATGCAATTGGCTATGGCAGATGGATATTATACGAGGTGCCTGTGCCACGAGAAGAAACTTAATTGTCACCGTGTTGAGTCCCCAACAAAAATGACTATGAAAATTGATAGCAAAATTTCCAGGGAAATAAATAACGAGAATCAGGCTACACATGAGCTACACATTTTTTGAGTTCCTTAATTTCCAATGTAATTATGTAAGTATTTGTTTCAAGGATTTTCTTTAGACATAATCTGAATAATGTAATTGACCAAACATGTTAATGTAAAGATTGTGATTGTGCAGACGAAAGTCGTTAATTTAGCCTATTTTTTTGAATAATGGAGGCCCACACGTGAACGATTGACGGGAGCTCATTATTACGCGAAACCTTTCCTGTACCTCTGCATACGAGACTGTTGTAAAAAACTGGATATTTGAAGCTGATTCGTCGATCAATCTAAACAATTCTTTGCAAATCTAAAGGAAAGATTCGTTGTTAAAAAATAAATTTTTAAATAAACAGCAAAAGGTCCACTCCGAGCTAATTCGTAATCTGCACTTTCATTTGTTTATATTAATGTACAATTCTTATAAAAATGTAAATTTATTCAACTCTGTATGCAGAATTCAACTGCACTTACCATAGGAACTATTCCAACATCATCATGACCACCAGCAAATGTAAATTCTTTTCCAGAATATTTCTAAAAAAAATGTCATATTAGTCCACTGCTGGTTCATGCCAATTAAAGTAAGCACCCTTTAAAATATAAAGAACATGCATTGTAGTGTATTACCTGCCCATAAATGACCAACGTGGAATTAATTCCATTGACAATATTCGTAACTGCTGGAATTCCGATATCTTTAAAGATCTGTTCCTGAAATTAACATTATACAAACCATATATAAAACCATGATGTCTATACAAAGTACTGGGCTGTGAAGAGACAGAGGGCTACCAGAAATATACTTACATTTTTTGTATCCCAAAAGTAATTGTTGTCAAAAGTGAAAATATGTTCCTATGATTGAGAAAGTATAAATCTTAAATGTGTCATATATATTGTAAATACAAAAAGACTTTTACAAGTTGGAACATAATTATGGGCTAAAAATTTTTTTTTCATAATTTTCACCTTTGTGCCTGCAGTATTTCCAGGATTATGTATAACTACTTTCTCTCCATTTATCTTTATTATTCTTGTGGATGCCTTAGCCTTTTCACTTTCTAGAAATTCATGCACAAATTTATGATAAATGTGGTGGATAGCTACATAATTATATAATAAAGTAACAAAATTATATAAATGTCCTGATGCACCCCCTGGTTGATCCACATTAGCCTACACAACATTATGTAGTTAATTATCACATAGGCAATGACAAAAGTACACAAAATAATAAGTACATAATATACATATATTATATACAAGTACATTATGTATGTTGAGCCCACTAGGTACAAAATTTTACCCATGTAATTTTGGAATTCTATACCTTTAATTAGTCAACTGTATGCACATTTAAGTAATAGACATAAAACAACTGTTTTCTATGTGAGGAAAATGTTCAAATGTTGGGGGAAAACTGCATAAAGTCAATCAGAATCTATTGCCTGTCATTAATTTGCTGGCAACTCTAGCACTATAGCTGGTGGTATAGGAGTGGGGTCGTTTTTCTGTCTCCCAGGCACATGTCCATTGTGATAGCACCAATTTAGCATTGTTAACTCAAAAGAGATGAGAGGAATCATTTGCAAAAGAGAGATTTGTAACCTAGCTCCGTCTCACCACCATGAGCTGGGAGCTAGATATCTCAATCAGACTACTGGAAATGCTTGGCAGAGTTAATCAATGTGGTGTTTAAAAACCATGCAATGGAAAACCATTATATGGATCAATCTTTTTATTCTTGCTAGGGCCAGTTAGAACACATATTGTGTACATTTTGTACATCTATCCTAACACAAAAATTTGCAAACATTTTTTTGGTGAGCACAGTCACAAATTTGGAATCAGGAAAAATCACGACCATATCTTACTGTTCTAAATCCTTGAACGTATTGCTACGGACGGTATAGTAAATATTAATAATACCACGGAACATCAGCTAGTATACTTGCCATTAAAGGGTCGACATCGTACCGCTACATTGACATTCTTCTTGCCGCTAGAGGTCTAGAATAAACGAAAACATCAAACGGCGTAGTAAAAAGGTTTTGTGTCAAAACGAAACTATTTCGTATTTTCTTACCATTATTTCAGTATTTCTTCCGGTGAATTTCACTGGCAGGTTACGCAGGAATGTTCCAATCTATCCCATTCTCTTATAAATTTATAATTTTCTTGTTTTTGTTGTGGCAACTGCAACTGGCAACTTGAAATGCGCCTGCGAATTGTAGTTGATATGGATAATTTCGCGAATACTTTATGTGACTCTTCATTATTATGTATCAAAATTTATTATTAGCACGCTTAGTTTTCCAGTTTTATTCCAATATTAAATACTAATATACTAATGTTTGTTTGCTCTCAGCTAAAAGACCTCAGCTTGCCACCTGAAAAACCTAAAAAGAGGAAAAACGACAAATATCTCGCATTTCCTTGAGCATTCTCATACCACTTAGATGTTGTTTATGCAAGACATTCTACATAGCTCACTGTCAAAGAGCACTGACGTCTCTAACAAATGCATGAAAACCATTTTTCCATAGTTTTTAAACCATCTCTAATGACTTCAATTTTTAATTTTCTCAGACTATTGAATGTTTTACAATTCGTACCAAATTTTATTTTACCGATCCAATAAACTTCTAATTCTTAACTAAACTTCTTAATACCCTTGAAAAGCAGTTATCATTCGTAGGGATAGTGGCTTCAAGGTTTTAACGCTGCTTCAACCATAGCTGGATAGTTCGGTGTTCCACATCCAGTTACCGGATCCCAACCAACGAAGGCATAGAACCCGTGATCAGGTCCCCCACAACCTTTATTATACCCACTTGTTGTATCATGCAAGGATTTCATGTTAGAATAGAGAAACGGATTTATAAATCCCATTGGAGATTTGTTATTTTGCAAGCGCATATCATTCACGAGAGAAATAATTCCAGCGACTGTTGGGGTAGATGCGGAAGTGCCCATTACATCTGGTAGTGGGACAAGGTCGTTAACAATCCAATAATGATGGCAAACTGCGGATATATCTGGGTAGCCACGTCCTGTCTTGCTGTATAATGAAGCCTTGGGTAATTTTCCAGAATTTTGTAGGTAATAGTTTACAGCAGATTCTTGATAACTTGGTCGTTTGAAGACATTGCTAAATCCACCTCCACTAATCTCATGACCATATTCACCATCCATACCAAATCGGTTATTGAATCCGGTCCCTCCAACAGCGGTTACATAAGGACTCGAACTGGGAAATTCTGGGCGGAATTTGTTTTTGTGGCATCCAGCTCCATCGTCTCCACTTGCGAACAAGATAGTGATGCCTCGTACTCCAGCTTTCATAAATTCAACATTGATACGGTTCATGTAATCAACTGACAATGAATCTTCGTTATCGCCGTAACTAACACTGAAAACATTCGGCACCTCGCTCATATTCCCTATCGCGATAATCCATTCCAAAAACGGTTCCTGACTTTCATGTCTTCCTGCTGTACTCCAGAACCACGTAGAAATGTTCGCACCCAGGCTCATGATGTATTGCACATCAAGACTGGCTTCGATACCAGACCGTCCGTTATTCGGACCAACAACTTTAGCGACGTCAGAATGATGCGTAAATCCACGTCCAAATATTGCAAAAAATTCTTTCAAATCAGCAGGACTGTAGTATTCCTCCAGAAATTGTGCAACAGCTTGTTTATTGTTAGGATGCGTACCTACTTTGTCTGCAACGTTATATCTCGAGCGCAATAAAGTTGGATATACTTGACTATGAGCTCCTCCTATTTCAGCACGTTCGCTTGATGCGAATTCAAAACTCTTTAAGGCAGGAAAACGCAATGAACCACTAACAAAGTCTAAATGCTTTGCGACTTCTCTCGGAACACTATAATGCGTAATAGAACGTATCACCGATTTTGACGTTGCTTTGTGATGAAAACGATAGAACCTGGCCCCATTCAATAAGATTTCAGCAATCACTGATGATATTTCGCAGATGATATAGTCTAAATTCATAGTCTCGTGACAATGTTTACTATCAACGCCGCCTTCTTGCAACCACGACTTTACCACATTCATTGACTCGTCCGCTGGCTTCACCAAATTATTAATTTCTTTCATATTTAGATGACGTCCATACTCTTCAGATTTCGGGTCTGAAACGCTCCAGAAAATTTCCTCCAATTTCGCAAGATTTTGATGTTTAATAGCAAATGCGAGGCGGACTTTTTCATTGAAAACTCGATGGGTTAATTTCCAGCCTGCAGATTTCCAATGCTCGATATCGTGGTCCACCTCTAAGAACACTCGTTTATCATTTGAGAACGGGATTGCAATAATTTTTGGCAATAAAATTGCTAAAATGAAAAAATGTCCACTTGACAACATTGTTTCTCCACTGAAGTATTGCACCTTTGATTGCACCAGGTTCGCAAACGTCACATAATACCACTTATGCCACACTCTATGTCAGCTTTATTTAATGACACATGTCAAAATGTCATTTACTCCAATATCAGCCCTACTCTAGTTCTCGCGTTAAGTTTTATAACTATGGTTGTTCCTTTCCTTGTATATTCTGATTTGAGCAAAAATTTAGCTCACTGAATGTCTAACCATCATGTCTACTTTTCAGCTATGGCTGATGACGAAAGTAGAACAATATGTTCTGCTGCTATGAATATCGCGATATTCATTTGTCGGAAATGAAACACGGTGAAACCGAAAATGGCATCTACAGCCAACGGGAAAAAAACCTAATAGCGAGCTGGTTGATCAGGCTGATCAGCGCTTAATTAAAGGTATAGTGCGTAATAGATTCATATGAACTTTAGATATAGATGGCATACTTTGAGAAGTATTCAGACCAAAGTTGGCTTAACTGCCAATGACAATAATTCAGTTGACGGAGAACAATTTTGTTTGTAAAATAATAGGGTGCTGAAACGTAAGCCAAAAGAGTGCATTCTTTGTCTTTTCACAGCTTACACAATTACAATGTTGGATTTTAAAAGGGGGGGATCAGCTTCAACTCCCTCAAATTGGAACTAGTGATCATAATACTATTATTATCAAGACATGTCTCCCTAGACCACAGAAGCCAGATAACAGCCCTATTTCGAAAAGAGACCTTAGATATAGTAATTTGCAAAGATTTGGCCAATGGATTACATCGTGTGTCTGGTCACCTGTCTTCCATGTCCACGAGTGTGAACAGAAATACCAACTATTTTATGATACTATAACCAATATGTTGGAAATGTTCTTGCCTATTTTACGTACAAAAGTAAGACAATCTGATAAACCATGGATGACTTCTTCACTTAAAAGTTCTATACGTAATCGCTAAAAAGCACTTTATAATGCCGGTAAATCTTCGACAATGTTTAAGTACTGGCGTAATAAAGTTATTATGGACGTCAAGTCTGCTCAAACCAAATATTACGCCTTATCAGTCAATAAATTAAAACAAGGCAGTTCATCGAAATGGTGGAAAGAAGTTAAGTCTATTGGTGGTCTTTCCTCCCGAGACTTGTGGCACCATCAACTGCTGTCCCCTGATAACCCCACCAGTCAACACCTTGTTGAATCAATAAACAAGTTTTTTATTAGCCTGACCTCGCATTTCACCCCCCTTGAGCCAATTACAGCGACCCAATTGGATGTCCCTACCTCCTTTCTAGTAGACACGTATCAAGTTTATCAAGCTCTACGTAAGATCAACACCAACAAATCTCCCGGCCCGGACTTAATCCCCAACAAAATCCTTAAAATGTTTGCCTTTGAGCTCTCTCCCGTAATTGCTGATGTGTATAATTCATCCCTCACGCAGGGCGTGTTTCCCTCCCTGCTAAAGTTGTATTTGTCCGTCCGATCCCTAAAGAACTTCCTCCTACATCAATTGACAATGATTTGAGACCAATCTCCTTGACTTCGCAAATTTCAAAAATTATGGAAATATTTACATTCCACTCGTTGATGTCTCAAGTAATAGACCAACTTGATCGTAAGCAATTCGCACTGCCGAACAAATCAACTACCCATGCCCTGGTGTACCCTCTTCATTAAATTTATGCTGCCTTGGACGGTGGTCATAACTCCATCAGATTGTTTTTCGCTGATTTCAGGAAGGGTTTTGATTTAGTGGACCATAACTCTATCATAAACGAATTAGAAAGTCTTAATGTCCACCCTGTCCTTATTCGCTGGATTGCAGCGTTTTTGACCAACCGTCAACAATGTGTTAAAATTGATAACTATCAGTCTTCGTGGAAAAGTACCAATGGAGGCTTACCCCAAGGAACATGTTTGGGCCCTCTTCTATTTGCTATATTGGTCAACCCATTATTGAAAGACTGGAATGGTCGTTTAAAATTTGTTGATGATGCAACAACATTGGAAGTTATCCCAAGGTGCTCTCCAAGTATATCGCCTCTAGTTGTTGATGAAATCTCTTTATTTTCATCCGCTCGTGGAATGGAGCTCAACCCCAAAAAATGCAAAGAAATGATTATAAATTTTCTTCAATACCGAATTCCATGTGACCAATCTATTTTCACTAACGGACTATGCGTTGAGAGAGTTCACAGCTTTAAGCTTTTGGGTGTCTACCTGTCAGATGATCTTACTTGGAATATCCACGTTGACCATATTTTGAAGAAAGCTAATTCCAGACTTTTTGCTCTCCGATTATTGAAGAAGGCTGGTTTGGATTCCACTAATCTTATAACCATTTATAGCTCAGTTATTCGGTCAATACTTGAGTATGCATGCCCAGTATGGGCTGCTCTTCCTGATTACTTATCCTTACATCTTGAGTCGATTCAAAAGCGAGCACTCAAGATTATATATCCTGACAAATCTTATTACAAAGCATTGCAGACCTCTAAGCTCGAAAGCCTGGAATATCGACGTGATCAATTGTGTCAAAGATTTATTAAATCAACCAGGAAGAAAGCATGTAAAAATAATCCAGTCTACAACATAATCAGACCTTCCCAGCTCTTTAATGAACATGATTATTTCCTACGTAGACCAAATACTAGTGAAATTGTGAGAACTAATACTGAACGCTTCCACAACTTTATTACTATTAAACATACGTAATCGTTCTAGTTTACACATTAGATCTTTATAGTTGTAAATATATAATATAATTTCTATCTTATATATTGTA